GTCGGATTGTCGATTTCTACTCCTAGGACACGAAGTTACGCGTGGAAATGGAGGAAGCTGCCGAGAATGCTCATTAAAGCTTGTATTTTGCCAGTTGCTATCGATTTATGTAAATACCTCGAAGGCGTACGAGACAAGAGACAAGACAGAGGGAGAGAAAAACCTTTGCCATCTTGGAATCTGGCCAAAGGTACCAGGTGTCACGAACGTCCGTCGCTTGGAAAAGCTCGCGTGCTCGCTCGCGCGCATGGCTGGCATCGCACATTTATGACACGACAATTGTCGGTGGGACTTTTTGCTCTCTCGCTCTCTCCAAGACAAACGCTGTTAATGCTAACGAGATCTCCTCGCTTTTTGCGCACGTGTCGATACGACGACCAGCGTAGGACAATGGGATTTCCGCGGACGGTCGACCTGCAACGTTAATGCTACGACTGACGAGATTTGACAAAATTGATTTTTCGTCGTGTATAGTCTTTTTTTATGCACATATGAGCTCTTTATACGATTAGAGAGCATACAGTGTTTCATAGAAAGTATTTTGCGTTTATTTTACGTATTATTGTGATCACACTAACGATATCTTAGAGACTACTATATATTTGATAAAATCGAATCAGTGCGGAAAACTTCGTACTTAATCACGATCGCAGAAGTGCGAAAAATCAATGCAACGCGACGAGGAAGGTTGATATGTGAATGTTACAAATCGCTCTAAAGTTGCGTTGATCATCGATTCAAATTGAATGTGACTGACGAGCGCAAAAAACAAGATAATTTTAAGGAGATTGCCCGCGAAAGCAAGCTTCAGTTCAAAATGTCATGCCGAGTATGGCAAGTAAAACGCCAACTCGTGTAAGCACGCCGAGAGGATTATTTTACATAGCGCTCCTATTTATCAGGATTAATTAGACAGTGCGCGTAATGCACGCGGATGCTATATTCGTCTTCGCATTACAGAAAATTTCTATGCTGCGTACTCGTTATAGTTCAGCGCGTTAAAGCAAGTACCTTTAGGGGATGAATAGGCACGGGTTGCAGAATCAAATTTTCAAAAAGCGCGATCACTCGAAATGTCGTAACGAGTGCGCCGAGCGGGCAAACAAGATTGAGCGAAAACGTCAAAGGCGAGTGTCCCGCGCTGTAACTTCATTACTGCACAGGACGAGAGCTCAGTGCTGCCTTTGTATTTACGCCGCAAGTTCACTTGCCGCAAACGTCATTACGACATCGTCGACCGAACAAGATTAATACAGCCGGCAACTTCCGTAAAGTGGCTTCTTAACCGACAAGTCCGGACCTCCGTAACATTCATTTTTTTTCAATTCCCATTTTTTTTTCTTCCCCTCGCCAACCTCTCCGCCCCGCTCGCTTCGGCAAATTAGCGCGCTCAAGCTAAACTCATTCAAGTTCGTACCCATGGTGGCTGCCTCTTGTAAATATCATCCAAAACACTTTTCGGTCGAGAAAAAAGCTTTGGGAAAAAGGCTAGCGTAGACCGAGTAAATCAAAGCAAGTTTCGCCGAGCCGCCTGCCAGGAGAATTTATGGGTCGCGCGCGAGACAGACGAAAAAAAAAATCACCAATAATATTTCGCCCAAGTGCCAGTTCAGTTTTTGTCAGTCACGAGTGGCCTCTGGGACCTCGCGAAGAAAGCCTCTCTAAATTTTTCTCCTCGGCTGACCTCGCTCTCTGCACTCTCGGATATCTCGGTCCGTCTGCCGCTGAGCAGCCTTAATACTTGAAGCTGATGTCACACGTACGTGCGTCATAGCGGCTGGTAATGATCCGGGCGCCAGGTAAAATCAAGCGTTAACTTTTCACGAGGCAGCTACGCCAGAGAGTAGCTTCACCACTCCGCTATTTTACGAGGCCAGTGCAATATTTAGTGTTAATGCTTCCGTGAAATGGATACGCAAGGTAACCCGGGGAAGGAAAAAAAAGTGTCAGAGTAGACGCCGCCGTCGTCGTCGTCGTCGTCGCCGCACGGTCTGGCCGTAATCGGATTACTCTACTTTAAAATAAAACGGGCGTGACTGCGCGACGACGCTCCATTTCAAGTTCCTTTCTTTATTTTTTTTAAATAAAAATTATTTTGCCGCGCACGGCGATCGGTAAATTCTGTCTAACCGACGGCGGACGTCAATTGGCATTGTTATGAAATCGAATCATGTTGCTGTGTGCTGCACACCCTAGAGAAATTACTTTACAACGAATGCAACGGCATCAAAGTGTAGCGTGAATATCGTACGATAATTTACGATGGCTTTATTGCGATAAATTATTGATTCTAATGCAATAACCTAACAAATTGGATCAATTGAGTCGAATAATATAAAATAGTTATATTTGTATCGTAAGCTATAATGAATATCCGGATTTTTAATGAATATGTGGCGGTGAATATGAACCGACAATGTATCAATGCTTGTATTTCCTTGCAAATGGTATATCCAAATATGAAACTGTATTTATCTAAATATAGTTGCATTGCTTACAGCGTAACTACTTGCATTGTGCATAGAAATACCGTGAATGTGTGGGCTTCCGTTGATCGAATCGAGGAATGAAATATGTTCGGATAGTGAATTTGCCACAATGTGTGTGATGAGAACATCACGTACAAGATCACTACAAAACTTCTCGAAAAGAAATCTCCGCGACAATTCTGTTAATGCTGTCCCCTTGGTGACTATCTAGTTGATGCGTCGTATCGCCGCAAGCATGGGCTTCGATTAGTGGCCAGTCGCCAAAGCCTAATTCAATAGGCAAACTTGACACGAGTAAAATCGCAGAATAGCCGGAGGCTTAGTCGATCGGAGCTAGCTCTGCAGGACCTCTTTTGAGCGTACATAATGCAGCGCTCTTCCTTTATCTCCACTCCACTTAGTATCGTTATCTGTGGCTCTGGCGTCCGTCTAAGTCACGTCGCGCGCGCGCTCGCGCTTTAATTGAGAGACGCGCCCGGCGTTCGAGAATTATTTTCTCTAGCCCGCGTTAAAGTACAGACTGTGTGAAAGAGAGAGAGAGAGAGAGAGAGACCTGGCGCGGGTATAATGCGGTTAGCCTCCCGTGATCTATAGCTAGCGGAACATACTCTACCTGCGGTCGCCATTGTCTTCCATGGACTTGCTGCTGTTCTGCAGTATCTAAATGTCCAAATGGACGGACTAATCATGCCCCCCCCCCCCCCCGCCACCTCCACCGCCAATCCTCTTAGAGAGCTTCCGATGCAATAAACATTCGGTTTTTGTTTGCTTTTACCTTTATTTTTGTTTATTTTTAACGAAATTAACGGAATATTTGTGAGGATTCACCCAACTTTTGGTGCTTGCTAATTTACTGTTCATCTCAATTTTAATTTACGTGAAAACATCAATATGTCTCGTGAAATTGAGTTTTAATAATTTTGCCAATTATTAATGATGTAAAGGAAAAAATGACGAATTACGCCAGGCAAAATTTTCGTTTTCCTCTGATATTTCAATGAAGTGTAACATCTCTAATGGATAAAACAATGTATGAATTTATTAGCAAGAAGCGAAGTAGCACTGTACGTGGAAAAAAGAAATAATGTCTATTTCAAGTGCCTCATTTATAGTAGAGCGAGTATTAAAAAAGTAATCGATGATTAATGGGTTTCTCGAGAAAACGTTATTATTTTCTAAGAAGTCCTAAGAATTTCAGATTATCGCTTAAGCGACTAATTCAGAGTTTTAATTTTAGCACTACATTCATATGTAAAGATATCATCAAGAGGAACCTGAAAAGCCGTATTTGCATTTCTAAAAAGCTTCATAATCTCCTGCAGCCTTTTAAACTAAGCCGTGCGGCAATCGAAAAAGAAGTAGGTATAAGTCCACTTTTGAAAGTCTGCCTCTAATTAGAGAATCGGCCAATAACGCGCTTACACGAGGCTGCGAAAGTTTCGCGAACGTAATTTCCATTTTACGGCCGAGCTGATTCTCTCTGGGACATTTGTTTCGTCGCGTTCTGTTTTTCGTCGCGCGCTCGCCGAAAAACCAGACGCGAAAAAACGCTCGACATTGTAATGATGTCACGTACCTTCAACTCCCCCGCACGCCTGACGTTTAACTCAATTAAGCGCTCCGAGCTAATTTTGCGCCGCGCAAAATTTAATGCCCGTCTCCATCTTTTCCGAAGAATTTTCCAGCTTGAAACGCCGCTCAACTGTTCTCTACCCGCACCGAGCTAATGAAGCGCAGCGAAATGTGCAGAATTATTTTGCACGTTATTTTCTGTGAACCGCGGCAATATCAATTCGCACCATCGACATTCCCGTTCGCACAAGAAAGAGGTGCTGCCAGAAACACACTGCTCTTCGAAGCATTATTTTATCGCTCATATGTCTATTGCAAACGTCCGGCGTTGCCATTGAGTGCGCCGTAACCAGATCGCCGAACAACCGAGCACAAAACAATGTAGCGTCTCACGGTACGTTTATTTACAAAAGCATGGTACATTTGCTAATGAGCCCATATCTCGAATTAACGCGCGGGCCGGCAAACAAAAGGTCCGACTCCGGCGCGCGCCGTGCAAATAAACTTAATTTCGTGCAAACAGCCAACTTGCAGTACACAACGCGATCCCTTTACGCATTCCCAGCTTTGATCTGCAACTGTGCGGGAGTCCAGCCGCGAGTGCCGCGCGGCTATATATGGTCTTGCGATTCTCTTAGACGGGAGGCAAAATCGAAAGCAACATTATCGGGGGGAAATTCATCGCATTCGTGGCGCGATCGCGACGGCGCTCCGGAGGGGAGAAATTCCAGCGAGGCGTGCAGCGGAATACAAGAAAAACATGGGAATTTCATAATAGCAGCTCGCGAGCGCGCAAAGCATCGCGGCCGTAAATTCCTCCCAAATCCGCTTCTCCCTCGCCGTCGCAGCTCGGCAACTGGTCTCGCGACGCAAAACCATCGCCGCCGTCGCAAAGGCCACGCGCTCGCTCTCGCGCGGTCATCCCTAACGCGCACTTACTTTTGTGCTTGGAATTGCTCCTCCACAGGCCCCGTAGAAATGACATGTCGAGTCGCGCTGAAAGCCGGCACAATTACACTTGGCCTCGCACTGTCTTAAGCCTGCTATCTGTCGGGTGTGCGTGCGCGCGCAGCGTACAGCCACGGCAAAAGCTCCGCACGGCGTCGCGGCCAGACGCGTTCTGGAGACTGGATGCTGCTGGCTGCTGTAACCTCCTGCACGATGGTCGATGCGCACCCCTGACTGCGCTGCTCTTCGCAGTCCTCTCTCTCCCCTCCGTCTCTCTGTTGTTTTTCTCTTCGCGCGCGACGTCGTCGCCACCCCGGAATATTATGATCCGAGGAAGCCTGCGGCGGTACATGCAAAATTTTCATCGTTTTTCCGGCGTAACGAGAGGTTTTCCTCGACAGATCTGCTCGTCGTTGCAACATGCCAGTTACGTGTCGTACGTGTGTCGATCGACGGCGTGCGACTACGCGCGGACACGTTGCCTTGTTGACATCGCGACACTTGCTGTGTAGAGCTATTTTCCGTCTGACGTATTTTTAAAGCTTTGTAGCTTAAAAAAATTTTTTTCGAAGAGAGCGAAAGAGAGAGAGAGAGAGAGAGAGAGAGAGAGAGTGAGAGCAATTAGCTGGCCGGGACGATGTGTATTTAATCAGAGTAGCCTTTTAGGCGTTGATTGGATATTCCCATGAGAGGAAGCTGGCCAAATTGATTTTGGCAATTTGCTCCCTCGCACTCACTCGTCGGTACACTATAAATTGCCCGGATTAAAGAATTCTTTTTTCTTTCTTTTTTTTAACCTCGCGGGAAAGAAAGGGGAAACGCCTACGGGGACCGGCGCTCCCGAGCAAATATTGAACTCGCGATAGCATTTCGGATGTTTGACCATCGACGCATAACCGTCGTCGTCGCGGAAATGCTCGATCTTTCTTGGGAAACGCTCGACTTGCCTTCTGACGCACGTAAACGCGCATCGGCGGGCGTGCATTGTATTCCCGATGCATTGACCGCGCGAGAATTCGCCGGCAACCGCGATCCCGCGGCCCAAACGTCAATTTATTCTCGCGCTCACGGCGAGCGGCCGCGCGACTCGCGCCGAGGCGCGGCGAATTCACCTTGCGATAAATCGCCTTCGGAATTCGCGCGGGCGTCTGCGCGTGTGCTGCAAAATTGCCAAGCCACGCAAGCTTGGCTCCTTCGAGGCGCCGTCGTGCCCGCGCGTTTTTCTCTTATTTGGCCGGAGGCCCGCGCGCTTTTTGTCGGGTATTATTCGAATTATGTAACGACGGGATGCGCCGGAGCCGTTCGCGTATCCTGAATATTTCATTCCGTCGGCAGAACGAGAGACGAAACGTAAAAGTATGGTCTCTGCGACTAATTAACTTTTCACGCGCGCGTCCATGTTTTCATCTGGTCTATAAATAATTATGGCGAAGTGCAATATTAACGAACACTTTTGTATCGAACCTTCGTCGAATATTGACAAGCAATTTGATTCAACTCGTTAATAATATGAGCTGCCGCTGAATTCGCAATCGGCCAATAATCAGAGAGGCGCATAACGCGATTGTGTATCCACGAGTATCCTAAATCATTACGAATGTCGCTGCGCGCGCACGCAGGTGTATAGGTGTAGTGCACGCGCGAAACACCTGCAGGGCGCTTCATCTCGTCAATATGTCAAGCCCATGAATTTGCTTGAAGCACGGCACGTGAAATTTTGTCACGCACTCTGGCAGAGACAGACAGAGAGAGAGAGAGAGAGAGAGGAAAATGTCGCTCGGCGATAATCGAAGTAGGTGCAGTAACGTGCACTCCCGTCTCGCTGCTCGTTGGAGTCGGCCGAAGTAAATCTCCATTATCTTGGCCGGAGAGTGATTAAAAGCGCCATTGAGCTTGCCGGAAGCCGAGGCGAAGGGCAGCGCCGGCGCAGGCCGCAGTCATCGGGCGAAAAACTTTATCGGCGGAGTACGTGCGCGGAGTGCGTGGCTGCGCGCGAGCGTGGATGATGCGGGAGATCCGTTGGATTGTCTTCGCTGCTTGTCGAGACAGTGCGCGCCGTGCTGCGCAGCGGGAAACGGCGGTGGCGCAACCTCGTACTCGCGAGCTAATCGGCGCCAGCCGATATCTGGGGGCCTATGTGTCATCGGGATCTTTATTTATCGAGCGCGCTTGACGTCGACGATCATATCGAGCGAGGGAAAAGTTTCAGCGAGGAAAACGACGCGCTATCTGGTCTTCGTAGCCGCGAGCGACCGAACGAAAGATTTCGCATAGTTGGTCGGGCTTATTGCGTCGCGCGAGATCCATTTAATATCGGATGAGCGATGATCTTTTATTCCCGCTCGCGCGCAAGGTTCTGCGATTTCAATTTCAATTTCGCGGCAACTATTCCAATAACGTATCCGTTGTCCTTAGCCTCGCCGCTGCCGAGTTGGCCGAATGAACTTTCGGCACCTCCCGTAAAAATCCTCGCGGCCGCGCGACAATCGGCCGCGCGCAGTAAAGGTCTCGCGCGGCTCTCCCGCGATAACAATTTTAATGAAACGCTTGTTGTTATCTCGGCCGGGGCCGCGACCAACGGACGGAAGGGATGGCCGGCAAAACGGCTTGGCCGCGAGGGCGGCGTAGCGCAAGAGAGAAAAAGTAGGGCTTAACTCTGGATAAATAAGGCCACCGCAGAGTAAATGCCGGCCGAGCCACGGGGGATGCGCGCCGGCACGAGTTGGCACGTTAATTAACGCCGGGCGTTATTGCGCGATTAGCGGGAGAAAAATGTCGGCCGCTCGCGTGCTCGGCTGGCCCTTTCTCCTCTCGCTTCCCCATCCGGCTTGGCGCGCCGGCCAATTTCGCGAGCGCTGCCTGAAAAACAACGATGAATTCCTTATCGGCATTACGCGCGCACGATTCTTTCGCGTCGCCGTACGCCTATAGATTCTCGCATAAAAGTCGAGCACTCTGAACGAGGCATCAAGTGTTATAATACGCGATAAGGATTTCGCTCGCGATTATTCCAGAGGGCGCGATCGGTTATTGGTCGGGCCCGAGCCAATATCCGAGGAGCTTTGGCGAGATCCATAAATAACTCAATCTACTTAGTATGGCTTGTGTGCCGAAAATACCAACGAATATACATTTCACGCGAATACTCTGTTTGGCGATAAATGCATACGTTAGCGATACCTTCGCCGTGCACACCACCCATTGGATTTTACGGTGCAATGTAATCTTTTCTCGGGGACCGCAATCGATGCTCGACAAACTTGACGTTTTCCAAAGATCCAGGACGGCGTAAGTGTACAGTAGCTACTGCGTCTCGCGGTCTAATCTGATCTTCTTTGCCAGCAATTTCGACGTTTTAACCGCTTCGTACTTGCGATTATGAGCTAAGTTTATTGTATGCCATACGTACGCCAACGAGAAGTTCGTCAACCATGTTGTTAAGAACTATTTGACAATTCTACTCTAAGCATGAAACGCCATTACGCGTACTTCTCTTACCGCGCTTCACCTAAGTGATGCGATTCTGTTCACGGAGTGCGATAGCGCATTTTTTCGGCTTTTAAACATTCGTCCGATGATGAAATGCTACTCAACGAACATTCGATTTACAAAAAAACGCTCGTGGATGAAACGCTCTTTCAATTTCGATCTTTGACAGGCGCATCGCTCAATTGTTTCTTTTGTTTTACCATGAACAATAAGTTTTCCATAGAATTGAAGAAAAATGAATGGGTCCTACCAAAATTTGGCTGAAAAAGCATTGGAGAGTATCGAATCTATCGCAATCGTGATTTCTGCGTTCACGAAAGTTAGACGTAGTTAAAGATAAAAAAATGTCTTTGTAGGGATTGTCAGAAGCAGCTGCAAAAACGAAAGACGCAGCTCAATTTTCAGACAACAAAGACCTATAGAGCGGCGCAGCAAAGTAGAAATAAAGAAAGCATTCAATTTTAGCTCTTCAAGTTCCATAGATGCAAGAGAACCAATCCTGGAACTTATATAACTTACGTAAACGCCCCAATTCAATCTAAACTCAACGACCTGCACGTACGCGACGTCGAAGAAAACGACACCGGCCGCTGCAGTGTGGCCCCCGACAGCGAGAGAGCCAGCGAATAAAGGCAACGTCGGATGGATTCCCGAAAAATCAATTTGCGAGAAATCGACTGGTCGCATGCAAGTCCCGCGACTTCTGCTCACGCGTCGCTACATCTTCATTTCTAAGTCGAAAACTCGGGCGTTCGCTGTTTTCGCACATCGCGCGCCCGGCAAGTTCTTTCTCGTGTTCGCGCCGAAGTCGAGGACGAGTTACTCTGCGTCGCGCGACGATATAAGAGCGCGAATAAAGCGCGCGACGACCGGCCAAGTTTTGGCGACGACAGGCGCCAAGATGTCGTGGCCTTATTTATCCCTGACGAGGGGCTGCCGGTGCGCCCAGGCGAATGAATGGACTACTTACTTTTGCGCTGACCCCGGCGTCCGAGCTTCTTGAACGACAGTACGGCCGAGGGCTCGCGTTCTCGCGCAGCACCGTCAACGCTACATTGTCCCGGCGAGAAGTCGGCGGGCAGCGAGCGGCGGACGTTGCGATACGCGCGCCGAATGAGAAGAGGCCACTAGACTGCACGCTACGCCTTCGCTCGAGGGAGCCTTATCCGCCTTCTCTCGCCACGCGCGGCAATACGTAGATTCCCAGACGCCTCGTGCTCTTTTCCTTTCTTTTCCAGATGCTCCGGCCACGGAGATCGATCGCTCTTCCTGCGTTTATTATCCCGACTCGCTGCTCTTGTTGATGCTTGCGCCCTCGCGTACGAACTGCGCTTTGCTCTTGCGCTGCTTCTTTTCACAACGCGAATTCATCGCTAATTTGAGACAAAAAAATATTCGCATGGGCTGACTGTTATTAACCGACGGTTCATTGCAAAATAAACCGCAAATCAATTCACTAATCGATCTAATTAAATGTCGGTCAAAGTATAAGCAGAGTCATTCAGTTATACCATGCATGACTCATGTGTGAAGTGCTTTACAAAATATACCTCGTTCATTATCAAACTTTTCGAACAGTTTGTTAAATTACGATAGTGAACAAATTGTAAAACATTGAAAAGTAACCAAATAAGGACTTTCATTTTATTTCAAATTTTCTTTTCTC